AAAATCCTCTTGTACAACTTCACTGAACAATTTGAGTGTTACCACTGATAAAGACATACTACCTACCTGTCTCAGGATTATTTCTAAGAAACTTTGGTAATAATAGCTGAGATGAGCACACTATAAAACTTACACAGAAGAACTTAAAAACTAAAAACCCCACAGTTTGAAGCAACTAAAATGGAGAAAAATATTGTAAAACAAAGTGTACTGGCAAATAAGGTACAATACCTGTCAGTCACATTTTTGCTTTTTCTACAAAAATATTAACAGCTGGAGAGGAAGCAGTTCTCTGGATTAGATTAACTGCAATGGTTTTAACATAAAACTACAACCTTAAACACCAATAAAAGGTAACCTTCAAACCTCTAGGCTTCAAACCTTCTAGCTTTCTTTGCTAGAACTCAGCAAACTAAATTCCCTCACTCCAAATTAGAGTTCTTGTTCTTATTTTCAGAGTTGTAAAGCACTTGAGTAAATGACTGTGCTGTGTATTACAACATGGTTCAGAACTGGTGAGAAAACTAAATGAGACTTCTTGCAGACAAGGTGACTGAGTTAAGTGACAACTTTAAGAAGGTATCAGTAAAATCATCACTTGAGAAATCAATCACTCCAAGAGCTGTTGCTTAACAACTGTGTTGCTAAGAGTTCATTCTTCACACCTATATATTCCCATAAACTAATTAACCATAAACAAAGGAAAAAGTAATTTTTGTTGCATCTAAAAATAAAAACCTTCAACATTTTGAAGATGGATTTTTTTTACTTGCAAAATTTCTGACATTGTTATTGAAATTAAATGTTACGCTCTATTTTCTACATCTCAAATACCAGCAAGGGTATTGGTAGCCAATACTACACAACATGATGAACGCTCTCCATTCATTACCCATGTAATATTCCAGAGTCACTTTTACAAAAACTGGTATCAACCTTTGGCCAAGTTCAACACAAAGCCTGCGGTTTGGGTTGTATTATTTTTTAATTTAAATGACCACCATTGCAAATTTCTTTAGAATCATTTGTCAAAAGTAGCTTTTAGAGAACTTTTTATCACTTCCAAAAAGCTGCACTGAAAATGAAAAATATTTAAGAAAAGCCTGCAGAACTGAAATAATGTAGCTGTTCATTACCAAAATTGGTGACTGCCAGATTGCAGTTACAAACTATACTTTTTGGCAGATGCTCAGCTCATTATCATTCAGCTGTTGAATCACAGATCCAGCTCCCATCACCTAAGAGGATTACAGAACAACAGGCAGGTTTTTACTGCTTAAAGCTCATAGAGCAAACGTCTTTCTTCTGACCTTAAGTTTGTATGGATCCTTCTCTTCCAGGTAAACAATTACAGGGCTTACTGGAAGTTCTATTAAATAATGCAAGAGTGGGGTTGTTTTTTTGATTTTTCACTTATCACAATGGTAATACATAACCAATCAAAGACAGTAAAACTTGAACTTCACTGTATGAAACAATCTTGTTCTCCCAAATACTCATAACTATATTCCTCTTCTACCACTGTAGGAAGTGTTAGAGCTGAAAGGAAGAATCAGTTCACTTACCACTGAACTGAAACTGTTCTATACTTGCAGGAAACAAGCCAGGCAACAAGACTCCCAAAATAAATGCTGGTGGTGCAGGATGGACATGATCTGGCAATCTGCTCTTGCAGCCCAGAGAGACAATTGTATCCTGGACTGCACACAGAGCAGTGTGGGCAGCAGAGTAAAGCAGGGGATTTGCCCTCAACTCCACTCTGGTGAGATCCCACCTGCAGTGCTGCATCCTGCAGTATAGGGTCTGCAGTACAGACTGCAGGGTCTGCAGTACAGGAAGGACCTGGACCTGTTGGAGCAACTGCAGAGGATGGCCATGAATATGATCGGGGGCTGGAGCACCTCTCCCATGAAAGCAAGCTGAGAGAGTTGGGGTGGTCTAGCCTGGAAAAGGGAAGCTCTGAGGAAACCTTGGAGTACCTTCCAGTACTTAAAGGGGTCCTACAGGAGAGCTGGAGAGAGACTTTTTATAAGGGCATGTAGTGGTAGGACAAGGAAAAATGGCTTTAAACTGAAATAGAGCAGGTTTAGATTAGATACTAGGAAGAAATTTTTCACTATGAATGGGGATGACATACTGGCACAAGCTGTCCGGAGAAGCTGTGGATGGCTCAGCTCTGGAAGTGTTCAACACCAGGTTGGATGGGGCTTTGGGCAGCCTGGTCTAGTAAAAGGTGTCTCTGCCCATGGCAGAGCACTGAAATCAGGTGATCTTTAAGGCCCCTTCCAAACCAAACCATTCTATGATTCTATGAGATTTTGATCTTTGCATTCTATCTCTTATACAATCAAAACGAGTTTCAAGAGAAGGTAAGACTTAATACTCTTTAAGGTATTTTTAAAAACAAATGCCAACAGGCAATTTTATAGATTATTTTGATCTAATTTCATTATCCCATTTTGAACTACCATTGACGACTCACACAGTTTTCAAACCAAGAACTACAATTTTGGTTATTAGATACATTTCTTTATCAGATTTGACTGTGAGATCAGCTTCCCCAGCACTTCCTTTTCAAAACTTTGAAATCATCTCTAAAAGCCATGAAACAGACTATCATGCAACATTCAGATCCTTAAAGGAAGACTACTTTTGACAAAGATTAAAAAAATATTAGTGGTTTTCATGGTTTAGGAATGGTATTCTGCCATTTAGAGTTCCCCCCAAAACACTCCAAAACATGTGCCACTCGTTCACTCCTCCCTTCCCCCCTCCTTCCCCTCTTGGGGCTGAAGAGAAGAATTGGAGTCACAAAAAGTGAAGATCGTGGGTTGAGATAAGACCAGCAATGAAATAAGAAAATGAACAGTAACAGCAACAACATTAATAACAGAAGTGGACAAGGGAAGTGAGAGACTCCCATGTGAATGCTCACCCCTGCACCAACAGGAGCCCAAGAATACCTTACTACTGCCAGGAAGGGACACCTTATCCATTCTTGGAAAACAACCTGAGGTGGCATGGAATAACCTCTGGGTCCTGGCCATGCCCCTCCTGACTGCTGCAAAAATCAACCCTGTCCTGGCCAGAACCAAGTTTAAGTGTTTTCTCCAGGCAATACACTCCCCTTTACTACCTGAAGTAGTAATACATGTCATGCCTTATCAAAGAAACCTTGATTCTGTACAAAACAAGTGTTCTAGGGTACAACCATCTATAACAATTATTTAGATTGGAGGATGGGGAGGAAGCGTGTCTCTATTTGTTAATTCCTAATGAATAGCTTTTGACGCCAATTAAAAACTAGTACAGATATGGGAAAATCCCTAAATTTCTAAGCAGGTTGTAGCAGCAAGCAGACCTCAAATGCTCTCACAAGACTGTTACTCTGACAGAATACTGGGCATCCTGTATGGTATATTTACATTAACAGTGTATTTTGAGAATTGGACCTGGTTACATCTAAATATTCTTGAAGAATGGAAAAGACTGTCACCTTCACTTCACCCTCAGCCCTTACTGTCAAAGTAAAATGATTAAAAATTAAACTGTCACAAACAATGTTATTTAACTCAGGGTAAAGCTATGTTTTGATAGTAGGAATAGCATAATAATTAATGCTATAATTATTTTTTATCATTAGAGACCTTGCCTGTGTCTTCATATACCCTTGGTTCTTCTTATGTGAGTAATCTGAACTATCCAGGAGCCCTGGAAGGAAATATTTTTAACTGGTGAACACCAAAACTAGGTTTGAAGTTAATGTTCTTACCCTCAGAAGCAAGAGAGCACAGAATAAGAAATGGTACTCTTTGACACATTTTTACTGCCAATGAAGAAAATGTAGAAGCCCGAAAACACAGCTTATGGATCACAGCAGTAGTGACATTTTGTGAAGGTAAGGGGAAATCAATCTTTTAGGTTCAGGTAAAAACTAGAACCAGACTAGTAACTCTAAAAATCACACAGAGAAGTTCAATTACTGTCTAAAGCAAATCTTAGTTGAGAAGGTATCAAGGAACTGACAGCAGAATAGGCAAAATGAATGAACATTGGCTTCAGGTGCACACTGCTCTACAAAGCACTGCATGCCCAGCTGAGGAGCACACCTGGCCCACAGCACCAGTGCAGCCTCTGATACATTCTCTACAGACGCCCAGAACTCCAGTCCCAGCACTCAGCTGACTACTTTCACCTTGCATATCAGCTTTCTAGGTCTGATTTCACACTTCTTATACTGAATAGACTAAAATAAGAAGTTGTTCTGCTTATACTTGAGTCTTTTCCTCAGTAATAGCACTAATGTGGGATTCTCTGTCAGCACACACTAGAACGTAGAATGGTAACACTGAAACGTTGTGATCTTAGCTGAATTTGTATCAGTAACTTAGAAAAACAAACAAAACTGATAGAAAGGTTTATGATCACACTGTGCTGGCTTTATCCTTTTTTTAAAAAACAGAACTATTTTGACTTCCTAAGTGTTTTTTTCTTTATTGGTGTATTCCATGCAGGCATATGTGATCCCTTCCCATCCTAAGCCCTCCAGGTTAAAGTCCTATTGCCAATATGATTATGTACAAAGTAACTAACTTTATAAAAGTTCACCAGTATCAGCAACATTAGTAATACAATAGTATTCAGGAATGAGTATTCAGTATCATATAGATTTACATAGCATTGCTATAAAACCAGAGCATTTCTATGAAGTTCTGGTTATCAATACAAGGGAAATAAAGATTTTTCTAGACTGTTAAAAAAAAAAACCACCACTGAGCTATCTAGTTATCCCTAGATTTTGTGTAGGAAAATACATTCTCACTCAGTATTATATTTTAAAGTTTTTTACATTTCTAGTGTATAGTTCTATCAAATGTTTAATACAATCTTCACTTTTAAGATACTATTTTAAACAGAATAGTCTGTAGATCAGATACAAAATTTTTGTTGAGAACCAATTGCAAAGCAAATTATCTTTCCACTGATAGCCCACAGGGCTATTTTTTGCCACTTTTTCAAAAGGTTTTATTTAAGTATACACACAAAGAGCATGTATTACAATGTTTTATGTAAAAAGCAAACAACCTCCGCTGCCAAAGCTGGTGTTTCACACATGGATAGGGGAGAAAAGGATTAAATAAACTCGAGAGGCCATTTGTTTTTATAAGTTAATTTCTGAGAAATTAATGAACTCAAAACTGTGTTTATCCTTACCTAAAAGGTAAGGTAAATTCCCAGCATCAGCAGTTACAATAATTCATACTGTCATCTAGAACAGAACATAGCAGAAAATCATTAAATACATTATGTGAACTCAGATTTCAAGAGAAAATATTTTCCTGAACTTGACTCATGGCACACTGAACAAACAACAGTGAATGGATAAAGGCTCTAGACTTTGAAAAGTATTAAAATCAGAACTCAGAAAAGGTTTTATAATTGGCATAATTTTGGAAGAACTAGGAGTTAAAATTCTGTAAGTTTGCGCAGAAGTTACTCTGAAGCATAATTACTGCATTTTAAAATGCCAGAAAATATAATCTAATCTTCTTAGATTAATTGCCTAAGTAAATTTTTTATCCTGCAAATTAGAACATGAAATGCTGTTTCAGAAGAAATCAGCAAGATGGAACCGATACAGCGTTAAGATGCAGCCAGATTAACACTGGGGAAACTTTAGGCAGTCTAGCTTTAAGTGGGCTATTAATAACGTAGTGCAGCTAACCTCAGTTTAAAAACAAAAGAGGGAGATGTTTGAGACTGTTCCCCAAATCAAACTTACTAAAAAAACCCTCAAGCAACTGAAACCAAAAACAACCACACAGAAACCAAAGCAAACAAAACCAAAGACACCATAGTTCTTTATCCAATCTTATTTTAGAACAAAGGATTTTTACATGTTTCGTATTCTTTGACAGGAAATCTGTGAAACCAAAACAAGCCCTGACAAATTGAACCTTTCCTGAGGAGCATTCATAGTCAAAAACTCATTTATAATGTGTTATGTGGGAGATGCCAAGTTGTAACAGTTTAACAGTCATCTACATGGAATGTACCAATAGATTTATGAACAACAGTAGCAGTTACTCACATGTTCATGGCAGCTAACTGTTCTTTATGCATTAGGTTTCCCTGTATAAATTAGAAAACTACAAAAAGTCAGAAACTGGGAGAAACCTCCATTGTCTGTAAAAGTTCAAGTGAAAACACCTTTGCAGCATTTTTCTTAGACAATAGCATATTGCTCATATAAAAGGTCTCTTATCCTATAGAAGTCCTGGCAGAGGCAGCCTTCCAATCCAATACGCCCTGTTTCAGTCTGAAACAAAAGATATGTTTCAATTTATTATCTTTACATTAATGAGAAACTTCATTTATTAGTAAAATAAGGTTTTATTTATTACTAAAATCATATATATTATTTTATAATATTATTTGCCAAAGAGATTAAAACTCAGAACACCTACCCTGCGGACAGCCACCAGGTTGTTGCACACAAGCACTCCTCCAACAAATTCAGCTTGTATACCTTCCCGCAAGAGAACCTGCTTGAAGTCAGACAGTCTTGGCTCATTCATAAACACAGACTGGTGCCCAAGAACCTTCAAAACAACATACACAATTTTACTGCTTCTATTTAACACCTTCCATTTTTCCAAAGAGCTCATTATTGCATTGGCAGCAGTGTGCCCAAAACTACAGAACTCTAAATTGATTCTATTTCTGTTCACCTGCAGCAATACATCTTCAGGACAGAAGAGCCGTAGAAGCTACCCATCACAAAAAGCAAAAGGTTTTTCTTTGCTCACGTATTGAGGACAAATAGAAAGCTACAATGAAGATCCCTCTTCCAAGCCATGCTATGCCAGGGACCAAGCAGCAGTGAGGTGTACTGCTGATCAGTACAGGGTGCTATGACGGTTGCCGTGAATCTGAAGAGACTTTAGAGCCGTCTCCATAATTCCCTATCTCCCAGAACACACTACGTTTAGGACTGTGAAACAGAGAATCTCAAAAAGCATCTCTAGGATTAAAAGGTACTGGAATAATTCAACAGAAAGATAAAATAGTATCTCCTAAAATGCAAAGTAATTTAAGAGCTACCATAAACTTATCGCAAAGATAAACTTAATGAATTCTCAAATCACTACTATAGAAGCAGATGTATAAATGTCAAAGATCTGTATCTCAAGTATATGAAGTATCTTTGAAGTATCATTGACAAAATGTAATAAAATCCTGAAGTGACTAACACCAATTGATTTCTCTATCTGCAAGTACTAATTACAGATATGACACACACTAATTAAAATCTTATTTCATAAATATATGGCTCTGTTAATGGATGCAAAAGATCACCCTCACTGAAAAGCATAAAAGCTGAACAAAGAACAGCACCAGGTTTAACAAAAAGAAACCGGAACATGAAAACCCAGTTTCAGTTAGGCTTTCATTTGAGTAAGATCACAATATCAACCTCTAAGCACTAGAAAAATAAAAATGAATACAGAGGTCTTCATAAAAAAAATCCAGACCAGCATCATTTCTATACCTCATGAGGTGGCATAGGTTCCAAAGTAGGAATGATCTCACTCTCCTCACACATCTCCTTGTCATCGTCACCAAAGAGGCTTTTCATGGCCTTCTGTTGTGCAATCACACTCGAGTCTGAAGAAGGCACGTCCACTTGCATCTCTAAGTCTTCATCTTCCCTCAACTCTCCCTCTTCCAAAATAACTCCAGTATCTACTTTTGAAACTCTCATGTCCAGAACACCATCTATCCAAGCCAACTCAGCATCCTTGGCTTTACAGAACTGAAGAGAGCTGACAAGAGAATCTTTCAACCTGACCTGGGTTGCACAAAAAATAAAAGTAGTATTAGTTTCATGGAAAATACAGAGGTCTTACTTCAAGTTTTAAAGATTAGTAAGTTTCTCTTCACCATCTTTCCAATTGGCTTGATTCATGAACTCTTCTGGAGAGAAAGGATGGAACGGGTATCACCAAGGCAAGCTCCTTTCAAATTTAAAATATGTAACACTTGTATTGCAACTTAAAAAGCAGCAGACATCAACACCTTTCTCATCTTTGCTAAAATTAAAAAAGAATCTATAGAACTGCAAACTTGACTTAAATTTACAGCAAGAGCAATAATTTCTTTTTAAAAACCAGAAACCTTTTTTGCAGCCAAGTTGTTCCTCAGTTGGTCTTAGCAAATTCAGAGGAAGTTCCTATAGATACATTTAGGTTACTGATTAATAGTTAAAAATTTCAATCCTCCAAAAAATTATAATTACTATTTTATTGTAAGAAAGGATGTTGTAGTATGAGACTTTTAAGTGCCCTTACTCTGATTCCTCTGGTGGATTCTGGGACTTTAATCCTTTAAAAATAAAGCTCTACTCTTAGAGATTGTTATCCACATTAGAAGGTCTATGATTCCCATAGTGCAATCAAGGTTCCAACCATGTGAAAGAACCTCCAGCTACCCACCCATGTGCAGCACAGCTCACTCAAATGACACTGTGACACTGACACTTCACTCACATCTATTCTTTTCAAACTCAACATTGCCGCTGCAATTCTCCTGGGTCATTTCTTACACACTAGCAACTCTTTTAGCCTTAAAAAACAAACAAAAAATCCCAACAACAAACAAACCACATGCAGAAAACACGCTGTTTTAAGGCTGCCATAACTAGATGATTTTTAATAACTGGACTTTTCTATTTACTAGAGGAGAACGGATTTTTCTCTGGAAAGAAACAGAATTTTCAACAATTCTACCAATGTTTTTCTATTAACTTTAAAAGAACAAAGGAATAAAGGATTACTGCAAAAAGTGTTTGTGAGAGACTTCCCTCTAAACAACTTCAAAAATTAAATTTGGAGCATACATTATTTTCACATAATTCACATAAGATATTCCAGCTTTCTTATTTAGAACTTAATCAATTGCATTTAATTTTCATGGCTAACACACAGCAATACATTATTATAATGTTACTTACTAAGAATCATAACATTAAGTTTTTGTGGGGTATGGGTATCTCATTTTATCATTAGCTTGCTCCTAATTTCACATGTTTACTCTTAGGTACTATTTAAGTATGAAGCATTTTTTAATTCCAGCTCTTTAAGGCTCCATTTGAGATTCCAAAGAGAATGCTGAATTGCAGCTATTATACAATGGTATTCTAAATATAGGCATTATAAATGTGAAAATACTTCAATAAATCAAACTGATGCCCCTGTGGACACAAATGTTGCCTTTTGCACTTCAGGTAAAAACACACTGATATCAAACTCAAACTTTCCAACACTTACAAATAATAAGCCTCAGGAGAATGCTTATCTAAAAGACACAAAAACACAACTAATGCCTTCATCACACAAAATTAATTGAACTAATAGGTGATACCACCTCTCCTCTCCCAAAGGACAGAGGGCAAATTACATTCTGCTCATACAGCTCGACTACAGTCCACAGAAGTTACACAACTAAAAAATTGCAGTACCTTACCTGGTAAATGTGAGTTTCACTTGTAGCATCTACAGTTTCATGAAGTTTGGGCATGTAAACTTTAATATCTTTTCCACCAAAAGCTCTGCAACATTCTGCAAGGTCCTGACTGGCCTCAGGTGGTCCATGGACAATCACCAGCTGTCTTGGTTTCATTTGATTAATAATTTTTTTAATTGAGTCCCCGTCTGAACGTCCTTCATAGTCAATGTACGTAACTCTGGCTCTAGTTTGAATTAAAAACCCAAGAATAATATGTTTTAGTTTAAAAGATTAAACCTCTGAGTGCTCCAAAATACTTTGTTAAGATATTTTTAAATTATTGTACATCAACAAAAGCTGTCAGCACAAGGTATATTATGGATCTGTAAAATACAGTTGTCAAATATTAGCGTGTGTGTATTTAACACTATACATTCACAAAACTCACTTATCTAGTTATCAAAAAAATAAATCATCCATGAAACAAGCATAATTAAATATGTTATCCTTTTAACAAAACATACTTAAGTATCCATGCTAACATACGATTGTATCATTTCTTCCCTCTCTTCCAGCTGTCTCCATAAGACAGGAAACAAACCAAATTTTTTAAGAGTGGGGAACCATAAGACTAGTCTGTGCTCCCAGAAATACTAGTAAAATACAACTTAGCTTGGGGAAAAAAATAAACTAAAATCAAGTCCTTTCCCACTTTCTTAAATCCAAGTTAGCCTTTTACCCAATTTGCACTGTACCCATGCCACTGTAGCAGAATTGAGAACAAAGTCACTCACTTAATTTCCATGGATTCTGTTGCAGAAATACATTTGGTAGGAACATCTGATAAATCTTGGTCCATAGGCTCCTCTCCATTTGTCAAACCAGACTCTAATTTGCTTTTTTCTTCTTCTGTTGCTTGAAGTTCTGGAACTAGAAAATCCTCAGGTCTAAAGAATGAAAGGCATTTTGCTTTTTAGAGTAAAACCAAAGCACTACCTAATATAAAAACAAACAGCATTGATTATTACTACTAAGGGGTTTTTATAACTGTTATTGCCAGCAATTTTACTACACCTGACAAACATTTCCACACTTGAACAGAGCTGATTTGGAAAATACGACTTTCCTATCTTAAAAAAGAACTTGAATAACTTAGGGAATACTAGCAAATTGAGGATTTCTAGCAAGTATTCCTTATGCAAAGCTGACAAATATAACTGAATTTTGTTAGGATGAATAGTCTTTTCTCAACTCACAAATTTAACATTAAGTGAAATTTAAAGCAGAGAAAAGTCAGGTTAAAATAATTTTAAATCTTCTATCTCATAAGATTAAAAAAAAAAAAGCCTGGAGTGAAAATACATCCTAAGAGGTGTGAACACAGGTCGAGGATCAGCACTCTGCAGCTTCAATCCTTATAATAAGCTTTCTCTAAGACTTAGCAGTTTGAAGAGCATATAGCAATGCTGCAAAAGAGACAAAATGGTGAATTCAATTACTTCTAGTTTTTGATTATTTCATAGCTACTATGTTAGTATACATTACCACCACATACTTGATAATTTCACCATATTCATCCCATTTAATTCTTTCTTCAGGAGCTGGAAACATTGGATAAGATTTTTTTGCCTGTTTGAAGAAGCTTCCTTTCCGGCTACCTTCACCTTTCATCATCAAATCATGTTTGGTCTTATGTAAAGTCGGCTGATCAATATCCTCTTCAGCATCACTCTCATCACTGGAATCAATATCTGCCCTGAAATGACATTCAAAAAACACCTAGCACTTTTTTTTTTTTTTTCCTTCAGGTTTCATATTACATAAACACACTGAGTAGAAAATAACAGTTGACATAACATTAACCAAGGCCAAGGGCAGTTTATGTATCTGAGAAAGAGCTCACAGTCAAATGGCAGATGAAACTGGGCCTATCGGAACAACAAATCAAAGACAACCACTCCTGATTCCTCAGGACCCTCAGACAAAGCTACTGATACTCTGATTTTCATACAGGCCTGAAGAGAGTTGAAGGAGCAGAATAATCACACAGAAATCTCAACTCTGATCATAACAGCAGAATGAGCAACCTACTTACTCTTTAGACTGCTCTAACTTCTTAGCTGCCTCTTTCTTTAATTTCTCCTTTTCTAGGTATTCTTCAAGTTCTTTTCCTTCCAACTTGACACGTTTTCTCAACTGCAGATGGAATTAAAATTAGTTACTGTGAGTAGCTGACACAAGGTTAATACTTTTCCTATACGCTGCTGACAAGAATATTTGTTCTTAGGCCCCAAGGGCAAGTATAAATTGCGTGTCACATACAAGACAAGACTACGGCAAAAATGTGGTACCTTGACATGGCAACATCATGATAGTATCAATTTGTACAGTCTGCATTAAATGAAAGCATTTCTATAAATATTAAAATCAATTAAGCTTTCCAAAAATTTTTGAAAATGTCTTCAGGAAATAGCTCTCCAATAAGTGAAGGCAAATACTCTTAGATGAGCAGTGTTTTTTTAGTTTTTCTATCATTAACATCAGATCAGAAGAAGCTAGCAAAGTCATACTAGCTGGCAAAACAATGCTAGATTTTGTTTCTTGTTTCCCGAGTACAGCTCACTTTGAATAAACTGAATTCTAGTAATAATCTAATCCTATATATAAATCATTTATTTCAATCCAATCTAAAACCAAAATAAAGCTGCATCATCAGTATTGAAATTATCACTGCAATCACAGAGGACTTCCATAAATTAACAATGTGCACCAGAAAGAAGTAGACACAGGTGTACAGATTATTAAAAACATTTTGAAAGCATGAACAGCAATTAATTATCTCCTAATTTCCTGAATTTGCTTATCCTTCTAATCCTGCTGGGATATATTATACTAATTTGACTTGATTCTCCTCCCACCCAAACTGGGAGAATTTTCCAGCAAGACCAACCCATCATATGTGGTGATCTGTACGTCAACTGCAAGCAGACTTTTTCTATTGTAATACAAACACAAAGGAACAATTTGTCTAAAAATGTTTAAAAGGAGCTTCATTCTCAGCTCTATTAATTTTGCCATGCCATGAAAAAGCATTTTGCAGTTCTCAGTAGGAGACTTATGTTTATGTAAATTTATCCACAATCTAATAAATATGCAGCATACAGATTTCAGGTTTCTCTCCACCACTAGAAACACTTCCGGAAGATAAAAAGGGAAACTACGCTCAGTTTTGCCCACACAACCCCAGATGGCCCACAATAAAAACCAAGAGCTACAGAGACAATGCTTACCTCAATATCTATAACTTTTTCAGATGGATTATCAATCAGGAATCGTGCTAATGTTCCAGGTGTAGTGCGGTAAGTTAAAATTATAGAGTTTTTGGAATCCTGGCACCATTGAATGAAAAGATCTCTAGAAAACCCACACTCCAAGTCAGGCTGACTGGCAAGAACAACTTTTGGACTTGGCACTCGAGCCAGATCAGACAGACTGTGACATAAGGAGAGATGGCGGAACTGAAAAGGGTTGTTTCTCTTGTCTTCAAAGCACCTCATCAATTTGTCACTCATCCATTCAACCTAAAATACATATTAGAAAAAGTTATCTATACAAATACAAGTTCTTCAACAGCATAAGCTTCATATGAAGTACATGATGCAACATGCCCGTGATTACTTCAGTATTTCTCAGCAGGTGTAGAAATAATGTTGAGCATAAGCAACACTGAAACAAATACTTTAAGCTCTCTGTTAACAACTATAAACTATGCTAACAAGTCTTATCGTAAAGACAGAAATCAGTATCAAGAAACATGCCCACTGTCACAACTGGACATTGTGTTACCTGATCAAAAGAGCTGTGATACAAACATGCAGTACAGAATAAGGACATTCCCCCAGTATTTTGCCATTTTTTACCATAAAAAGAAAAGCTTCTGCATAAATGTCCCTTTACTCTTCATAATTGGATTTTAAAATTAAAACAAACCTGTGATTTAGAGAACTCCACTACATTGTAGCTGACATTATTCAAAAGTGCAAGAGAGTAGACTCCTAATCCTGCATCTTTTGTTCTCCAGATCTGATCAAGAAGCTGAGCAAGTTCCAGAACTCTGCCTGCTGTATCCACGGCTATTAATACATTTCCATCACCTCGTAATGTCTCCAAAACATTAGCTAAGAAGAATTAAAAACAAAACAAAAACTTACTTATACTTTGAACCAAAGTTAGAAGGTTTGTGGTGTAGCTTGGATTTTTTTTTTTTTTTTTGTTGTTGTATCACACTAGTAATCATATTCAAAAGTGTACTGAACACAGAAATAAATGAAACTTCAAAAGAGACCCAAATCCACACTTCCACCACAATTAAAGGGAGCTGGAGTTTCCTCAGTAGCTCTGAAGATCGCTCTGCCTTGGTATCTCTTTTGTTTGTTTGTTTGTTTAATTAAAAAACAACAGAAAATGGAGTTTAAAAAAGGAAAGTGCTGAGGAAGGTGATTTAAAAATCCCTGAAGAGATTTAAGGATACTGAGTAAAATATACTATTTTCAAATATGGTTCATTGTTGTTAGGAAAACATTTAATTCGCAGGATCAGTATCACCAGAAAAGAGTAATTCAAAGCTTGTTACATTTTAATAAGGATTCTTAAGTTTAAATGCTAATGAATTTCTTACAGAAAAATAATTTATAGTGGCTAACAAATCACATTACTGATATTTTTGAAGCCCAAACAATACAATACATACTCAGCAGCTGTTCATCCCTTTGCTTCCTCCTGGGTTGTACATAAGTAGCATTAAATGAGTCTGTAATAAGCAATGAAGGCCTGCTCAACATTTCCAAGGAACATCCATTCAGATGGCTGCGGAAAAAAAGGAAAAATCTCACTTTTTTGCATTTCTATTTTATGAGAAAAAATAAGACAGCTAAATTCCAGATATTTGCATGTACAGAAACCGAACTACTCAGCTGCTGAATGCTTCCTGCTTCAAATTTACAAATAAATAAAAATGAATGGAATAAAGAAACCCAGAGCTAATGCTTGCTTCAAACTGATTAATCTGGATGCAAATGAAATTAGTGGTCTTATTAGAACTGGAAATGCACTTGCACACCTTCTTATCACCCACTAAATGATACACACCTAACACAGCTAAGAGCTATACATTACTGTGTTGAACTTACATCTCCCTCTTGTGGTTGAAATCAACGGCATAAACAATTTCTTCCTCCCCATCCTTGACAATCTTCCAAATTGTGCCTCCTATCATGTGACCAGCTGGCAATGGTGTGATTGACAAACCATGTCCTTTGCCTACAGAGGTTTTCAATATTTTAGGTAGATTACACATATCAAAATCCATTACTCTGAACAAGACACAGTAACTTTAAACAACTGAATACCCAAATTACTACTGAGAAAAAAAATCAAATGAATTATGAAAAAGCAGTAATATCTGTGCTTCCTGTCTAAGCAGTAACATCAAAACATTTTGCAATTCACTTTTATATTTCTTCCAGAATAAAGAAACTAAAGTAAAGATCACTTCTTCCCTCCACCTCCCACTGATACTCAGAGGCACTGCAGAGCTGCTGTAACTATGGACATGAACAACAGTAAATTATATAAAAAACATATCACAAGAAAGCAAGCACAATGATGAAAGCTCGGATCCTCTCTGGGGCAACATTAAAAGTTTACTGTATCAATCACTTTTGAGGTACTTAGGAAAACTTACATAAATTACATAATCTGGAAGCTTTCCAGAATGACAAACACTCAAGTCAAACCATAGCAGAAAAGGTGCTCATGTGCTGCAGTTGCCTTTCACTAAAAGTAAGTTCTTGAGGTGGCAACTTTACCTTTTAAGTTCACAATCTGAGAAAACTTCAGCTGTTGTATCTTATCAAAGGCTGCATCTACATCATCCAATGTAAAGAGTGTGAAATCTTCAGTATTATGGCGGGACTAAAACAAAGAAAGAGGTACAGAGCATTCAAACACTCCACCATATCACAAATGTTGTGTATGAAAGTATCAACTTAAACATACCTGGTAGAGATCATACATAAACATCTGTCCCATTTTATATACAGGAATAGTTGCATAAATGGCACAATTCAATCCCATTTTTCCAACTGCATATGGAAGTGCACCAAGGTGTAGAGGGTCAGGGTGGGAAAGAAGAACAGCATCAACCTGGTGTACATGCCTATAAAAAGAGGGCCAACAAAAGCCATTGAATGGAGCTCTGTATGGTTTTGTATATCCCCTGCTAGAGATATTTTGAGAATACATACACAATCTGAATGCCAAATAATGAAACTTAAACCCTTCAAGAACTGGGACAGTTTTAAAAATCATAATTAAAACTTACAGGTGTTTCCTAATGTTCAAGTACTTAAAAACACAAGTGACTTCAGAAAGCGTAACTTTTAGATCTGAAGACGTAAGTTTCACATCAAACTCCTGATTAAAAAAGACCTTAGTATATAAGTGGACACCAGAAAGTAAACTAACTGAGGGACCAAGAATATTATCAGTACAGATGTACTACAAATTGCTTATACACCCCAAAACAGACTACAACTTTTCTTCTGATGGGAGTGAACAAGTAATAGGACTAAAGACACAACAATCCTTAAACTAATAAAGACCAAATCAAAATATATTTCTTTAAATACAGAAAAGATCAAACATATAATTTAAGAAAAGTAGCACATCAGTTCAGGGGATTTTATACTCTTAAAAACATTTGTTTTTCCTTGCAAAGTGTTGCATAAAATTAGAACTCTGACTAAAACCTTTCTACATATCATAACTGAAAAACTTGAGAGCACAAAACACATGTAACAAATGAAAATACAAGCTGGACTGACAGTTTTTTGTTCCCTTGCATACTAAGAGGGACAGATACATTCTTCTCGATGGCTGTTACGATAAAGGGAATTTTATCCAATTGCTTCTTAGATAAGACACTTAAAAAATTGTATAAATTATCCTCAACAATCCTCACTTAAAAGATTTCAAACATTGCAAGTGTGTCAATGCTACAAAACTAGTATCAAAAAGCTCAGTTTCCTTCCTAAATTTCCATGTTTCAGTCCTAACTTGGCAATCAGCACAGCTCCTTGTTGTACATCTGAAGAAGTTCAGTATTGAAGGCTGGGTAGATTTTGGGTTGGAGGGGTTTTTTCCCTTTGCAGGGCTAGTGTCCTGACAGAAGGTGTTTTCCTGACAGTCTATTCAACTTGAAACAAGAGCCAAGAGTTGAACTGCTTTGTATCCAGCCTACATACACGAAGGCTTCCTCTCCCATTTAAAACTTAGTTAACTATTCTAACTATTCTGAATTAGCTGACAGTAAAGGTCAGTCTTCCCTAAACTGCGTCACATTTATGACAATAAAAAACAAACTAATCATCCAAGCCAAAACAAAAACTGAACAGTTTGAGAATTACAGTCAAGAGACACAACTCACTGGACTGACAAGGAAAAAATCCCAAGTTTCTGCAGGAAATGTTTCAGCAGTGTGATTCCCTTCATGTAAAATATACACAAAACAAAACAAAAGAACAATTCTGCATTTAGCAACACCATACATCATACCACTGCGTGGAATTTTGAAAACTTTTAAGATAGACCAAACCCTATTTTAACAGGTGTATGAACTGAACTACTTACTTCCTCAGAGAATCAATAATATCCATAGAAAAGTTTTCATCCCAGCCACAGTCCAAAAGAAAACGAAACTCATCTACTTGCAAAAGATAGCAGAGGGCAGATTCCTCCTGCACCCCCGAGAGCGTAGTCAACTTGATAATCGACGTCATTTTCCTCTCCAAGTGTTTAATCCCCAAAAGAACTAATCTGAATGGGGGACAAAATGTTTCACTGACTGACACAAAGAAAAATTTAATTTACTTAGATCTAGCTTCACATATTCCTGAAAATATGCAGGCTAACGGTGTTAATACTGTTCAATACAGCTGCTCGATACCAATTAAGTTGCAGACATTAACAGTCTACTCTTGCAGGTCTTATTAGAAATAGGTGGGGTACAATAAACATTAAGAATAATTCAAAAAAGGATCCCTAGGAGCAGGGCAGTTAACAGCAGCTCCTGGGAGCTGGATGGGGGCACCCAGAGATGGCACATCCAGGGCCGCGACCCTCAAACCCAGGGCCTGCCCGACCAGGGGCAGAGCGCGGGCCGGGCGCTGCGCGGGGGCTCCGGCTCTCCAGCGCCCCACCGGGCCTGGCGCCCGGGCCTGGCCTCTCGCCGGACGGGGTCACGGGGGCGAGCCGTGCGCGCACTCCAGCCCGAGACGAGGAGAACAAGGGGAAGAGGAGGATGCTGCGAAGGAGCCGGTACCTGCCGCCCTCAACCACCCCCAGCCCGCGCCGCGCTCGCCGCCATCTTGCGGGGGCGCGGAGGAGGGGCAGCGGGCGGAAGGGGAGCGGGCTGCACCACCGCGAGCCCGCCGGGGGGAGCGCGCTCCTCCCCCGCCCCCGCGCAGCCGTGGTCTGGCCCGGCCCGCCCGTCCCGGTGCCCTTGGCGCGGCCGCTGCGGTCCCGCTGGCGGTGCGAGCGGCGGTAATGGCGGGGTCGCGCGGGGCGGGAGCGGCGCTGGGGCGGCACCGCTGTCGGACTCCTGGCAGCGCCTCGCCCTGTCCCCGGGACGCGGCGGCGGGCGGGCGGGAGCGCCCCTCAGCCGGCGGGCTTTACGGCGCTGTGGCCCCTGGAGGGGCGGTCGGGGTCCCGGGCAGGCCGGAGGCGGCTGAGCCGGGAGGTGGTGGGGCCGTGCCGCGAGTCAGCGGCCGGGCCCGGGGCGGGGGTTCGGGGGGTTCCCGCAGGGGGGGTTCCCGCAGGGGGTGTTCCCGCAGGCGGGGTTCCCGCAGGCGGGGTTCCCGCAGGGGGGGGTTCCCGCAGGGGGTGCCTGCGTGCCCGCCCCACAGCGGCCGTGGCGGGAACGGCGGCGGAGTTCGCCCTCAGGACCCGGCCGCGGCTCCCGGCCCGCGTCTATGTGTCACAGACCTCACTGGTACCCCGTGTAATTCCCTAATCTGGAAGGCTTTGGTTGAGTTGGAAAGGTTTGCTGGGCCCCTATGGTCTCGAGAAGTCTGCGAGGGGATCTCATTAATGCGTGTAAATATCTCAAAGGCGGGGGCCAGACTCTTTTCGTTGGTGCCCAGCAACGGGACGAGGAGCAATGGCCATTGCTAAAACACAAGAAGTTCTGCTTCAAGACGACGAAGAACTTCTTCAATTTGAGGGTTACAGAGCACTGGAACAGCTTCCCAGAGAAGCTGTGGAGTCTCCCTATCTGGAGACATTCAGAAACCACCAGGATGTGTTCCTGTGTCATCTGCTGCAGGTGATCCTGCCTTGACACAGAGGTTGGACTGGATGATCTCCAGAGGTCCATTCCAACTGTAATGATTCTGTCATTCTGTGATTTTAGAAGTGTCCTTTCTTATCTGTCACTCTCTGAGACTTGATACAGATAATGAAGTCTCCTTCTACAGAAGTTTAGTTTATGAAAGTGTTTCTAATGCTTTACAGAGTAGCAAACTTCTGTAGAATTGCTTTAATGAGTAAATTAAAGAGATGTTCTATTTCTCTCCTGTTTTAGGATGAAATCCTTTTTTCCCAGTTAGGATTATTTCTAAGAAAGCCAGGTATGGGTTTGAGAGCAGTATGTTTCTCCCAGGAAGTGTTTAATAGCCTTCATGTATATTATGTAATTGTGGAATCCTAATAAGTGAGAGTAAAGGTGCCAAGCATGCACCAGTTTCCAAGTGCACATGTATTAGTACCTCTTACCTCTTACGCTTTTCTTTCTAGCAGTCATGATGAATTTCGCCCAAGCTGTGCGTGAACACTGGGTTCACATCCTTGTTCCCTTAGGATTTGTGATTGGATGCTATTTGGACAGATGGAATGATGAAAAATTGTCTGCCTTCAGAAACAAGAGCTTATTATATAAAAGGTCTGTTTTATGATGCCTCTTATATACATATATAGTTATTTTTCAAAGTACTTCTCAGTTCTTTTTTAGTCATGATTGTAACCAAAAAAAGGGAAGAAAGGCCTAAAAATATCAAGCATTCATGAAGTGTTTTAGGTCAGTAGTACCCTCTGAAAACGGAATCTTTAGGAGCTATCATCTTCATGAAAGAAAGGATCATTAACTGCTGTCAAGTTCGTGGTCATGAAATATGGAAACCATTATTTTAACTCTCTATAACTTCAGCAGAAAACACAGTGCTTGAGTTTTTATTTTCTTTCTTAAATTTAAAATGATGACAGTGTTTTTTGACAAAATTATTTTTATAAATGTGTGTTACTTAAATGTAATTACCAAGTTCTTGAAAATTAACATACATGCTGCTATATCTTCACTGAATGATGTGATTATATATACTGATGAGTTTGGGTTTTCTGGCTCCTCAGGGAGTATTTACATCAGAGAACTTCAGGCATTGACTCACCTGTGTCAGTTTTAATTCTGTATTATTTCATCAGGTTAAGAAAAGAGGAGAGAAAAAAGTCATGTTGCAGAAACTGATAGCAGGAGTGCTGTCAGTTTTCGAGTGGATTTGTTTTTCCTCCTCTGGCCTCACCTAAATTCATTTTGAGTAAGAAAGAAAGCTTTTGACATAATCCACCCCACTGATACGTTAGCACTTTTCTTAATGTTAGTGAAGTTGGGCTGCTATGTCAGTGTCTTGTAAAAATCCCTTCTTTCACACTTCTCTTTCCACTAAAGTAATGAATTGTTATATTTAAAAGAAGTAGAATTTTTCATTTTGGATCCAGTTAAAAGTCTGATAACTACTTAGAAGTCAGCTACTCTGTGCTTCCATTTAAATGAATGGAAATTCAGAGGACTCAATCCATTGAAGCTTTTGAAAGAAAGGAGGAAGTTTATCAGTATGGAAAGATTTTTTAACTGACAGCAATTGCAAGGAAAATTAAATTTTTACATAAATCTCAAATCAAAGGTATGGTTGAATGTAATCGAACACAGATAAGTACTTCCATTTATTAATAATTATTGTAAAAATAATGATACTAATTTTATTTTTTTGCCTTTTTTTTTTTTTTTTCTACAAAGGGAATTGAAGCCTGGTGAAGAAGTAACTTGGAAATAAAAGCTGATGATGAAAAGGAAGACATTTTTGTTTGATTCATCGTCTTACATATTGAAAGAACACCAATATGATTTTTACCCTGAGAGGATACTACAGTAAAGGACATCTGCAGTTCATCAGAGCTAGTTTGATATCTGGTGTTACGTTTTGAAGATAATTTAATTACATGACTAATATGTGTTCAGGAATTCCATTAGTCCACAAGCATTGAGAAAATTTTCTTCTCTACTCTGGAAAGTAGAGGAAGAATTATAGAATAAACTATGCAAAAATGATCTATGTTGGTATTGCTGTGTATGGTGTGGAATCCATGTGTTTATAGCTATTTCATGAACTAGCCTTCAAAGAAATACTTCCATAAATCCAGAATGTGTTTGACTGGTACTGAACCTGCTTAAGTTTCTTTCTGGATTTCCTCTGTAGGCTTGTTTGGAATAGTGGTTAAGCAGTTATCGCGGCTTTGTGAGTGGACCAGGAGGGTCTAAGGAGTGCACAGCTGGTGAGCACAAGGCAGGAGCGCGCGGTGCCGGGCGCTGCGGTGCGCACAAGGCAGGAGCGCTCGGCGCGGATAGAAGCGGCGTTGGGTCGGTGCGGATAGAAGCGGCGCGGGGCCGGTGCGGGGCGAGCCGGCGGCGCGTGTCGCTCCCTGCGGGCGCGGCCGCCGCGCGGGGGCGCTCGCGGCCCGAGGCGGTTCAGCTCGCGGCCTCCTCGCCGGCAGGGGGCGCCAGCACGGTGGGCGGGCCGGGCGCAGCCAGCGGGGCCTGCCGTGCGCGGCCGGGGGCCGATGGGCGCTGCGATTGGCCGGGCGGGTCACGTGGGGCGGGGGCTGCGGCTGCCACAGTAAACATGGAGTCGATCTTCCACGAGCGGGTGAGTGAGGGAGGGAGGGAGGGAGGAGCGGGCGGATCCCGCTGCCCGCCCGCCTTGGGTACAGCGCCGTCGGTTGTGGCCGTCCAGGCCGCCGAGACGGGGGGGGCGCGCGAGCTCTCTCTGAGGATCCGCTGGGGCGGTGCCCGGGCCTCCCGGCCCCGCGGGGCAGCCCCCGGAGCCCCCGGGGTGCGCTCGGCCTGTGTCGGGCCGGGCCGCGCTGTCCTTCCCTGGCGTCTCTAACCTTCGGCAGTGGCTTGTCCTCTGCCTTGGGGGAAAGCCGGGGCCCTCGCGCGGCGGTGCCTGTGGCCCGTCCCAGCTGGACGTTGCCGGCCCTTCCAGCCTTCCAGGGAAAGGAGAGTCAGGACTGAGCCTCAGTGTCCGCTTTGGCACGGGAACCGCGTTCTGGGGCCTGCAGAAACAGCCCCCGGGTGTGGGGAAGTGTAGGCTGCAGCTACTTCTCTTTCCTGAGAGAGAGCTCGCAAGGCTGGGAAATGAGTACGAGGAGAAGCAGCGGCAGGCGGGGCTGTCCCTGTGCTCTCAGAGCCATCTCGTCACCGAGCCTGGCTTGGCTGTGCTTGTGTAATGAGCACGGACTGGGAGAGCCACTAGAGAAATCGCAGTTCATATAATGTACTTCTGTGTGCCGAGCAGTATTTCCTGTTTTGGAGGACAAATGCTGCTGTGAACTGCTGTGTTTTATCCAGGTTCCAAGATATGACCTATTTCTGGTTTAATGTTGTTCGAATTATAATTGGATTTTTTTCTTGCATTTTGCCAATTTCTCTTCAACTTTATTGTGTTAATCTTAATACTAGTTCTGTTACTTTGTTTGGTTATGTAGAATTTATTTCTTTAAGAAGTCAAGTAAGATAGCTGTGTACAGTCCTTTAAAAAATTACTGTTCTGAAATCCTTAAAAACTGGGGAGTGCTCTTTCTGAGTAGGTTTGGGTTGCAAAATTTGGCGAGTGTTGTGGTGTTAAGTAGCTGCTGTTCAGAGGGTGAGTGTTGGATTTCAGCCGTGATGGCTTCTGCTTCAGTGACCTTCAGTCTGGTCTTGAAAACAGTTTAATGAATGCACTTTTTTCTTACGTGGCCTTGCCTATCACAGTATGAATTAACTTTTTATTACTGAGTTGCTTTCTAGTTCAATAACAAAACTTGTGAAATTGAAGTGACAAAGCATAATACATTCAGAGTTACAAGGTGATGATGGTAACTTGTACTTTCTCCGCCTTCTGGGGAAGGGTGAGTTGACAGTCTCTCATGTGAAACATACCTGCTCCCTGGGAAGTTAGTAACACAGTTAAAAAGTTGCACCTCAACATGTTTTAAGTTGGAGAACCAAACATTTTTATTCTCTTGCTATTTTAGGGAAAATCTAACTGAATTACTCTTTTTTTCTTAAGGGGTATTTTTCCCCCCATCAAGTGCTGTCAAAATA